TTATAACATACATAACATTTTACTCTTACGAACGATTATTAGAACCAATTAAAATACACGACTGCTAAAATAACTAATAAGCATTGTTCTCATAACATTGTACTTTATTTTGTTTTCACTCAGAACATCTGAACGATTACCACATACAAGGTAAAAACAGATTGCTATACAAATGTTGACGTCCACAGATTAGTGACTGATAAAATTTAAATAGTTGATCTGAACATATTTAAATTACTATTGTGGATTTGCCTCTTATGTGTCACATTTGCAAATCTCGGAAGTAAATTGAAGTATTTTTTTTTTCAATTTGATAGTACCTTTAGAAAAAAAACATTCACGTTGTGATATTGCTCCCAGTTCAATATAATACTGATGTCATTCTGAGTTTTGGTCAATTATTAACCAAATCATATAAACAAATAAAATATTATTAAATAAGTACTAAATAGCGTAATAATGATTTTTCAGAAATATATAACTTTTGTAAGTTTTGAAATTTAACGACCAATTTACTCAGAGTAAATTATATTTATCTGCACTGCTCCGAGTTACCTTAATTGATCTATTTGATTTTAGAAATTTTAAGTTTGATAACTTAGTTATCCATCTAATAGTTACAAGTAAAACGGGGTACTTTTCATAGAATATAGAAAGAATTTAAAAATTATAGGAACAAACATATACATAGTAGAGATGCAAGACGACTTTATGTATCTAATCTGCATAATTTAATAAAAGTGTCCGATTTGTAATTTGAAAAAAATGTGTGACACTATGGTCCTTTTACTGAATCAACATATTGCACGTTTCTTTTTTTTGTTTGGTTTTAGTCAACTGCCCAAAACAAATGAAGTATTTGTTGCTGAAAATATTTTCTTTCATAAGAAACAACTTTAACTCATTGGGGTGTGCGCGCCTTGAATTAGAGATTGAATAATTGATTCAAATGATTGATACACTGTAACGAATAAATATGATGTAGTTGAAGTAGACTACGGTGTTATTTAATGTTGTACAGTGGTACAAAATAGACAATACTGCGTACAATGACTTCCCCTAAAAGCAGTATTTTCATGTAGTGGAATAAGTTATACAATCTGCAAAGCAGGCATATATTTTGCTAATACAAATATCGAATTACAAAATATTATCAAATATCTGAAATGATATTATTGAATGTATTAATCATTTTCGGGGTATCATTATTTTAGTTCAACATTTTTTGCTATTTTTAATTTCTTTTCAATTCTTTTTTAATTCAAAAAAGAAATTACGTCATTTAATAAATTTTATATCGAGCTCCGCGATGTCACATATCAAAATATGACACTTTTCTTCAGAAAACTTAATTAAATTCATAATTAAGCTATATCTTAACTGCGATTTGCCTATTATTTTAAACACACGTCATATTTACATATTATGTGCATGGGCCACAAAATGCTATTGGGGCAATAGTGC